TAATGAACATGTTCTTGTAATAAGAAAATAAAGAGACTACCATCTGTTCCAATCCCATAATATCAAAAAACGGAACGAGCAAAGCCTAAATTTGAAAGATAAAATTCACGTGAGATCAATCCCCACTGGAAAAATTGCATAATCAACAATTTTGAAAAGCAAAATTAAATATATTGCAGGAAACTCGTCAAAAACGAAAACCAATGAAAAAACTGAAAAAACAGTATAGTACTAATCGAACTTACAAGATTATACAACGAATTCTGCCGTGCCATCAGCATTAGTACGGCATTGTTCGGTACATTGTAATGTGCCAAGGTATTCAATCGCTTCCAACCATTTGGTTCCACGCGTGATGTCGCATCGATATCCTGCACAAAAGCGGAGATCATTGGAGGTAAAGTAGAGTAGCTACCAATGGCAGAGGCAAAGAGCACACCTGCAACACTATGCGACCATTGATACCCGCTCGCCATTCCAAATCCAAATCATTTGCATTTGGTCGATCCGAATACGGTACAGTACGGTACTTAGCGTCGAGGCATTTCTCCTTCACCTACAAGACAAAGAAATATACATAATAAACATATAATATATCAATAGCTGAATGGAACTGTAGAAAATATTTTCTCGACTCATTATCTATTTATTGGTGTGGACTTTAGTTTATTCCTTCGCGATTCAGAAGCAATAATTCCACAATAATTCCAGTAAAGTTGGAAATACCACATACTGCGAACGCGCCTACCCCTAGGTATTCACCTTCACAGTTATTTCGAATATTTCCTTAGATGTTATTTTTGTTCCACTCAGGGCAGCAAGGTTTTTTAAATTCCTTAAGTGGTGGCAGTTAAGTCAACTGAGCGCCGTAACACCGTTACCACAAAAAAGTACCAGAAACCTGTTACAACACCAGTACTCCAAACCTCTAGAAATTGCTAAAGCTGCTGATTTGTTCTTCTCGCCACCCTTCTGAATCTTGCCATTCCATGCAAATTACACTTCAGAACCACTACTGCAATCGATCACCGTAGCATCGCATATTCTCATCACTCATAAGATGCATTTTTTGGAAACCCTATCAATATCAATCATATCCCGAAACTCCCACTAAAAACACCTCGATCAGTAGCATTCCATCAACACATGTCACTCGCCGATCGTGGAACAACCCCAGAAACGCAAGGGCCATAAATTTAGCAAACTCCCATAAATTCGCGCTAAGAGAGATCTCCGTAGAAACTCATTTGTTTCGACTCTCTAGTTGATCAATAGATCCTAACTTCAGGCCCCAAAAACTGATGTCAGGCAGATA